TGGGGCCGGAACCATGGCTGCTGGGGCCAGAACTGGGTCTGGAACCATGGCTGCTGGGGCAGGAACCATGGCTGCTAGGGCAGGAACCATGGCTGCTAGGGCCGGAAACAGGGCCGGAACCATGGCTGCTGGGGCCAGAACTGGTTCTGGAACCATGGCTGCAAAATAGGATGATCATTTTAGTTTTCCCTTCATATTGAATTGTAAATTGCATCAAATTACGAGTTGTTATTTTTTTTATGTGTGTGACGACCCCAGGAGCTAATGTTTATGCTAGTGCTAATGGGGATCCTAATAAAGAACAACAATACAAGTATTTCTTTCTTTCTTTAATCCCTTTTATGAAGAATGAATCTAGTTTTAGGAACAGCTTGGGTAAACTGTGTAGTAAAGTGTTTTTGTGTTTTAGGCTAGTGACTTTCAGTCGACATGTACTCGTATACTTTCACAGTGTGGATATGTCTCGGGGGGGTCAATGGGTGTCTTACTTTACAATCGGAGTGTCAGTGGATCAATCCCCAGGTAATGTGCACAGGATACTTAACCCCAAATTGCTCTCTGCACCGGCATTGAAATGTATCCAAGACGATTTGGATAAAATCGTCATCTAAATAGCGAAAATACATACTCCTCCATCTCTTGATTAAAAGGACTATGCTGGTAACAAATGGGCTAAATGTAATGGATCCCACATTTGGTGTTAAATAGGAACAACCTAATACAGAGGGGGTGGACCTGTGATCACTGTGGTCTACATTATGTGCCCTGCAATAAATACAGAACGTTTGAGTCTGAGAAGTGTTCAATTTTTTGTGTGTTTTAAAAAATCAAATCTATCCTTACTGTGTGGTTGCCTGCATCAGCTCATGGCTCCAAACTTAAAATGTTCTTAAGGCATGCAGCTTTACCATATGTGAGGACTAAGATTCCTGTTCTAATGATCATCCTTTGTAAATGTAGGGAAGTTGTATGGGATCATCTATAATCTAATTGCCTGAATTTCTACAACTTCCTTTATCCAACTTCATTATTTGGTCCTTATCTTACCTTCCTTCATTTAATCAGTTTGTCTTATCATGGTGGTTATACAGTATAATAAATAAGTGACACCAAACACATTAAGAGTATGATACCAACCAGACAAAATACATTACATAATGTTGCAAAACCATTCAGTCTTTCATTAGGAATTTAAATGTCAATGTTTCTCCCTCTGAACACCAGGGGGGGCCACTGAACCTGAATTGAGAATCCACTGATTGCTGTAAATGATTCAGTGTCAGTGTGGCAGTGAGAGAAGAGTGTTTCTTGCACAAGTAGGAACATCAGTAAACAGGTAGCAGCTAGTAGTATACAGTGTATCTCTGTGATGTCATATGTCAGCGTCCTGACTGACCTTTTCATCTACTGCCTCCTGCCCTGTGACCTTTGACCTCTTCCAGCTGATGCAGTGAACGTGTCTCCTCATACAGCCCACTACAGTTGAGTACATGTATGAAACACTAAGTCTGAACCCAGACTGAGAGAGATTGATTGTTGATGAAGGTCCTTCCTTCCTGCAGACTGTATAAGCAACACTGGTAGACCACCACACACACAATAACACACAGGACATTGTGGTTGTGCAATATGTTAAAATGCAACTACTGGCTGCTTTCTCTTTTTTCACTATACGTGTAACAACATGTTGTAAGATAACACTCTGCAATATATACTTATATACTAGTAAATGAACTACTTACTGTCATCCTGCAGCTACTCCAACTTGATTCACTTCCTCTTTTTACTTTTGTTTATTAAAATGTGTTCAAATTAAATAAAAAATGGTATTAATGTGTGCTTGCCACTACTAAAAACTGGTATATCATTATTGTCTCTTTGATGTAACTATGGATGATTTAACCATTTCTTATCCTTTATTTAAATAAAAAGTCGTACCGTTAAAAACACGTGGCGTTGAGGCTGGGCTGGCAGATGTTTCTTCTTGGCTGCTCAGTGTTTGGGTGTATGTGAAGTGATGTAAACAGCTGGTACAGTGTGTGTAAGTGACCTCTAAACATCATGCCAGTGGAGGGTCACTGAGCCTCCGTGTGCTGCTACTGTGTGTGTGTGTGTGTGTGTGTGTGTGTGTGTGTGTGTGTGTGTGTGTGTGTGTGTGTGTGTGTGTGTGTGTGTGTGTGTCTGTGTGTGTGTGTATATTTGCAATGTTTAGTGTGTGTGTGTGTGTATTTGCAATGTTGTGTGTGTGTGTGTGTGTGTCTACTGCTTCACACAATGTTTACAAGTCATGTCATAGACATCTCCCTCTTCGTCTCTCCTTGTTAAAATCTATATAAACAGATGAATATAATAATGTATATATTTATTATTAAAAATGTTCCAAAACACATGCAAATGAAGAAACATCTTCACCAACTTGACAACACATGCGCAGCGTTTACTAAAAGAACACAACGCTGCAAGAAGCTGAAAACACAACGAACATGGGGACACTAAAAAGTGACGCACACAGCTGGGACCGGAGCACTTGGTGACGTTCAGGATTATAAAGCTGGACTACTGTCTCTGGAATCTTACCTTAAAATATAATATCATTGGCTTATTTCAACAATGTGATCTCACTATTGCAACTCTGCTAGCTAGCCACCAGCTAACATAGTGGTTTTAAATATACTGACTAAACACTATACTGAAACAGGCTAACTCTGCATCAGTGACAGTTGGCCAACTTTATAATCCTGAACTTCACCAAGCACTCCGGTCCCAGCTGTGTGCGTCACTTTTTAGTGTCCCCATGTTCGTTGTGCTTTCAACTTCTTAAGCGTTTTATATTTGCAATGTTTAGTTTGTGCAGCAACATTGAGCTTGTTTGGGGAATGTTGCTCGTGTTTCCTCAAGTAGGTGAAGATGTTTCGTCATATGATTCGGCACATTTGTGTTTTTCTATTTGCATTGTTTTTGAAGCTGCAGTATGTTACTCCCAATGGAAGTTTTGGGCCGTTGTAGAGCGTTTGCATCTGCACCGTACATATCCACCAATAAGTAGATATTGCCTTGCTTCATTTATTTGGTATTTATATAAATATGCTTTGATGATGATTATCTTTTTGTGTGAATGAGTGACGTCAGGTTAGATGGAGACAACTTTATTTTACTAAGCAGATTACATTATTATTTTTGTATTTAAAGATTAGCCAGATGAACCTTAGCCAGGGGACAGTGTGGAAAGGCGGAGATAGAGGTGATGACATGCATAAACAGACCCAGGCCGGATTCAAACCTGCGTCCCCGCAGCAGGGACTGAGCCCAAGTACATGGGCCTGTTGATTATTTTCTAAAAGTCAACTGTTTATTGTTTGAATAAATAGTTTTTTGGATATACTAAACAACTTCCCTGTGTGCTGTTCTTTGGGAAGTGTGTGTCAGACACCGTCACCTCACCTCAGGTGGCTCCAGGAAGCTTAAAGCCCAGGGTTAGCCACATGTTTATATACAAAGCAACAAATCAGTACGAGTTAATCAATCAAACCTGACTTATACGGCACGGTACATACACCAAAATAACGCAAAGTGCTTCACAAACCAATAAATAAATAAAAAGAGTACTAACACTCCCCCCCAATTCATTGACAGAGCAGCACTTATTGTGTGAGTAATACAAATACTAAATACCATCTTCCCTGCATCAAAGTGTCATTGAGCAAGGCACTGAACCCCTCACTGCTTCCGGACACCAAAACATGACAGCCCTTTTGCTCTGACACTTCTCCATACAATGCACATGTGTATTTAAGGCCTAATTCCAGAGATGTGTTCTTCTCCTCGTGTGGCCGAACCGTCTATCTGATAGTGAACTGTAGCAGATACGACCGTTATCGTCCTCGTGTGGCCGGGGCCTAAGTGTTCTTGTGGCTGTTAGAGAGAGCTGTGTGGGGCGGGCAGGGTTCTTTAATTTAATCATCGCCTACTGTTGATCCTTCAGTATTAATACCAGCCGTGATTTATACATTCCGTACACATTTATACTGTATAAAATATCACTTTTACTTTTATTATTTTAAGTGCAATGCAGATAATACTTCTGTCATTTGTATTTTTACTAATATAATGAATTCAGGACTTTACCTTAAATGGGACTATTTTTGGATTGTATTTCTACCTTTTAAAGTATCTGAGCAGAATAGTATGCGATTCTAGTAAAGGTAGAAGTCATCAGTAGGCATAGTAATTCACGTCAGGAGAAATAAAAGTTGCAATACTGAATTTTAAAAGTTCTCTGTTACAAATCTGCATTCAACATTTTACTTAAGTAAAAGTACAAATGTACTGGCATGAAAAATATACTGAATGCAACAAAACAAAAGTACTCATTAAGTGTAATGGTCTTTTGTGGTTTATTTTGTATTGATGCATTAAGGTGTTCATTACAGATTGTAAATGTGGAGCTCATTTTAATTGATCTATACTGCTGCTGGACAAGAGAAAATAACACTTAAACTAGATAACACTGCCAAGAAGCTATTTAAAAAACCTTTTTAAAGTTGAGAAATATAAATACACGTTTTTAACAAATTGAAGAATACAAAAAAGTAAAGTCAAAAGTAAATAAGATCCACTTTTACCAGCTTTTACTTGTAACTGAGTATTTTCACTTCACAATTTGGTACTTTTACTTTTTTTACTTCGGTAACATATCTGAGTAGCCTACTACGCATAGTAGTACTGTCAATGGGAAGGGTTAGAGTCTGAAACTAAAAGTACCAAATGTGTACAGTAGGCCTACTTAAGTACAGTTCTTAAGTAAATGTAGGCCTACTTCACTACCTTCCACCTCTGGATTCTTCCACCGCTGTCATATCAAACAGTCCCGCTCCACACGGCGACATGACGGATGGTCTCCTGCGGGGCTGTGGATGTGGGCTGGCGGAGTGACGCGGCTCTTCAGGCGGACTCCTCCGCAATAAGAGGCGGCGGCCGCGGAGAGGCAGAGCAGAGGAGGCTCAACGCAGCACCGTCACACAGCACCCTGAGCACCGCTACACAGCAGCACGCTGCACCGCCCACACCACCGCCACTCACCCCGGAGCGAAGACGTTTCAGTGGAGGAACATGCCGGCGCTGCCAGGGTCTCAGTGACTCTCCGCCCGATACACAGGCTGCTCCGCGGGCTGCTCACCCTGACCCTCCGGCAGGACCAGGGACAATTTAACATTTAAACACATATTTTATTGGTAAGTCTTCACTTTTTAAATCCAAAAAACGAAAACCAAACTCATATCACATTTGTTATTACATATTTACAGAAGTGCAATGAAATACATATATTTTACCTAATTAAATAGCGTACTTAAGTAGTTTGGAGTTACTTTAAGCAAGTATTTATATTTTATGCTACTCTATACTTCTAATCCACTTCATTTTTGAAGCCACTTTTTACGCCAGTACATTTATCTATCAGCTTTGTTTCCTCTGCAAATTAAGATTATTACAAAAATAAATATAGCATCAACAGTTTATAAAGTAATTCAAATGAGCTCCACCATTACCATCTGTGATCGAGACATGAATGCATCAATAAACATAATCCAGTGATTTAATATTTCTAAATGGAACATCATTCTTTATGAGTTATTTTTAATAATATTTTAAGTATTTTTTGATGACTGTTACTGAAGTAGGATTTGAATGCATGACTTTTACTTGGAGTACAGTTTTTTTTACAATTTAGTATTGCTACTTTTACTTAAGTGAAACATCTGAGTACTACGCAAAGTGTCCATAAAATCTGAAAACTTCTTCCACACCTCCATATTTCCATATTTAAATAATAATTTGTAGAGATCTTGTATGTTTTAGAGGAATGTGTATATCAACAGGTGTATCACAAGCGTAGGCTACTACATCCAGCACTAGTTTTCTTTAAACATTAAAATATATTTAGTGGTAACCACATTTATTTGTATTCAACTTTCAGGGTCATCACATTCATATGAATACTTTTCCTCAGCAGATGTTGCGTAGGAATGAATTGAAGACATGGTTTCTTTAACTAAACAAGCAAAGCTCCAAACAGGCCTCCAGCTGATCCTAGCATCACATCATAAACTCTAATGAGCATGAACATTAACACGTGTGAAGCGCTGTGATTAATGTGAAGATAAGGACAAGAGAGAGAGAGAGAGTGTGTGTGTGTGTGTGTGTGCGCGTGTGTGTGCGTGTGTGTGTGTGTGTGTGTGTGTGTGTGTGTGTGTGTGTGTGCGTGTGTGTGTGTGTGAGGCTGGAGGTGTGACGGCTGGAGATCAGATCATAGTGGAGTGTGTGTGAGGCGGGGGCCATGCATGGTAAGACTTTACTAACTAGATACCACAGAAGAAGAAGCTTTCACTGCCACACTATGCTGTACCTATTTGACTTTTCCATAAGTATAGTAAAAGGTATTTGTTTTTGGGAGTGATGTAAGTAGTAGGTTGTTGAATTGTGTTTAAAAAAGCCCTGATAGTGCTAGTTTTAAATCCTTTATTTAGTACGGTGGTTTAATCAATGCATTTATATCATATTTTCACAACTTATTAAAAATGAATCACAGTAACAAAGGACAAGTTGTCCCGCAAAGTGATTTTAAAGTAACATATAGCGGAAATACTGAGAAAAAGTTGAAGTTTTTTATTAATGTACTTATGCATTCCACTGCTGACGGTTACAAATGATTTTATGGAATTGGCAGCTTCTTTGCCGTTGTTTTTTGAACATATCAGCTCACTTATCATGTAATTTCTGTTCTTATCTTATCTGTAAATGAAGCTTTTTCAGACATGATGTCTTACAACACATGCTCTAACATAACAAACTTGATTTTAGAAGGAGAAAAAGTAATCTGTAATGTGGAACGGAGCCCGTAAGTTTCTGGCAGCTTGAGATATTTCATATTTTGAAGAGCCCAGAACATGTAACCACACCTAAAGACCTCGGTTCTAACCCCGGCACCATTATGAGCATTAGTGGACTTAGTGAGAAATGAGGAGAGAGCAGGCTGACAGATTACAGGACGCTCAACTCAGCGCATGTTTGTGAACGTCAGATGTAAAACATATTAATAACAGCTGTATGAAATTGGAAATGTGTCGACTCATACGGAACACCACAAGTTATCACCATACCCGCAATAACATGTTTACGCACATTTGAGACTTTTTCTGTCACTTTTTTTCTGATTTCTGGAGTTAGTTTGTATTTTCATATTTTCATATTATACATGCTTATATATCAATGGTTATATATTAAACTAGTTCTCAACAAATCAAAAAAAGGTCCTCCTCAAACTACGTTAATTCTGTTCATTATTTTTCTGCCTGGATTGAACCTTTTTTCTTTAACTATGAAAAAGTGTATTAAGTAAAAAATCAGTACTAAATAAAACAGTTTACTTTCAGTTTATTATTATTAATCTTTTCATAATATTGTATCCAAAGTATAATACCGTAGAAATGCCTACTGGCGCAACTCGAGGTTAATTGTTTTTTTTTGATAATTGTTTTTAATTGAGAACAACTGGTTTTAACTATAATATATAAGCATGTCTGAAATTGAAATATATAAAATGCAGCTAACCCCAGTATTCCGATTAAAAAGTGGGATTAGATGCCAATCAGGAGCAATTTTGCCCTCGGATTAATGGACATGTTGACTGCGGGGGGGGGGGGATCGCACTGCCGACCCTCGCAGACACCTTTTTTACCCCCTGTGCCACGGTAGTGTTGTTACTTACATGTTACTAGTGGTTAACTAGCTAAGTGGTGGAATTGTTCATTATTATCCTATGTTGTTTTTTATTGCAGCCTTAATTTCAATAATTAAAAAAAGTTTTGGCCCAGATTTGCCTTTATTTGACAGGGTAATTATGGGGAGATAAAGGGGAAGACATGCATGAAGGGTATACAGGGATACACACCCTTTATTTTTTCAGGCATAGAAGTTGAAAGATAATGGTCCCATGTAAATGTACTGAGTCACAAACGACTGGAATCAGCTGACAAAATACACACCGCTGTGAGTTGTTAATTAGCACGTCGCTAAAAGCTAATTCGCTATAAAACCTGTTCAGTCCTGCAGAGGTAAACACCCGGGGCCCACATGTGTATCTCAGCCGGTCTGATCGCATTCACACCGAGGTGAGAAGCATCAGGCCCCACAGCGAGGCCCTCGGAGGCGTCAGATCTCACAGGGTCCGCTGAAGTTAAAGGGCCACATGGCTGTTTGGATTTGGAGGCCCCTGGTATGCAGACATGAAAGGGGAGAAGGTGAGGAGCGCTCAGCGGCGCAGCGCTTATCTCTAATGACCCCCTAACTATAAGTCAATTACTTCTGCTTGATGATCAGAAAGGAGCGCACCACGGGGGGCCGGGGGTCCTCGTTACAGACCCTTCCCTGCATGGCCAGGTCGCAGGCATCCTCTTTATTACTCCCTGTGTTAGCTGCTCAGTGTAAACGCTCCGTCTGTACCATCATGTTCAGGACAATGGGATGGCTTTGAGCCAAGAACAGAAAAACTGAAAGCAAGAACAATTTTCATTTTCAATTGAATTCTTAGAATCAGAATATTTGTTTGCAGAGGGGAAAAGTACAGCGACAACAGCAACAGATAAAAGGCAAATAAAGTACAGTCAAATATGAAATGGTAAACATTGATGGTAAAAAAAGAATAAGAAGTTTAAATAAGTTTGTGAGTGTATGAATTGAGGGAGCCAGTTAAAGCAATGTTTTAAAATCAAGTGTATGTTGCATATGAACAGTGGTTATTGCAAAACATATGTAACAGATAGCTTCTCCCTCAGCTCTAACACTGCACTACTCTGATTTCTTTATCACTCTCTAAAATTACAAGTAGGACTTTTCTGATTAGGATATATTCATCACTATCATTATTATCACTATTTTATTTGTATTATTTTAATATAATTCAACTGGAAAGTGGACAAATGTAAATGCTTTATGAATAATGTAGTTATATTAACTGTTTTAAATTAATAAAAAAACGTCCAGGCTTTTATGGACGTCCCTCAAAATGCAGTTTGATACATATACAAGTAAAATGTTTTAATGTTTTTTAATACCCAATTTTAAATTTAAATACCTGCTTAGATTTAAAAAGAAACATCTGTGCATTATTAGTTTTATTAATGACTGCTTAGAGCTCGTGTGAGTTAAACAGGCCATAAAGTGGTGTTCAAACATCTTCAAACACCAACAACTGTATTTAACAATCTCCCTCTCAGATGTGTTAGAGTAAAAGTATACAGTAGTTGAGAATGGGACTGTAAAGTAACCCGATGTAAGTATCATCATTCTTTCTGAAGTTAAACTTAACCCTGACGGTGAGCAGGAATGCAGCGTCTGTGAGAGGTGAGAAGTGTGTGTGTGTGTGTGTGTGTGTGTGGTGTGTGTGAGCACACCGTCACCTGTGAGCCTCAGACAAACACACTTTGTCTATTGTCATCCTGCTCATCAAACCTGCTCTTACAGCTCCTCTGCTGCTGGAAACACACACACACACACACACACACACACACACACACACACACACACACACACACACACACACACACACACACACACACACACGCACACACACACACACAAAAACAATATCAGAGGCACACATGCATGCACAAACTCATTCTAACACCCACACACACAACAGAGGCATACTCACACTTGCAGGCAGAGGCACACACACAAAAACAAACGCAATCACATACAAAAAAAACACACTACTATTTCTCTGTCTGACTTGAATGTGTCTCTGTGTGTGTGTCAATGCCAGAAAGACATTCCACTCAGACCCCATTTACACACAAATGCAAACGAACAGAATACGAAATCAAAAAAGTCTTCCGTTCACACGAGACCGCTCGGGAGCGCTGGAGACGCTGTAGTACATATGTCGGGCCTGTAAGTGGCGCTGTACTTCCGCCAGAAAATACACCAAAAGCAGCAAAGAAGACCCCCGAGCATGGTTGCTATGGTTGCCCTTCTGTTTATGCCCCGAGGTGGATTTAGCAAAATGTAGTTCATGTAGTTCTCCATGTCCACTTGTTGCTGATGGTTGTGGTAGAGGAGCTGTAGATGTTGCACTAACATCTGTAGCATGGTCAGTAGCAGTAGCAGCTGACCATGCTACAGCAGTGAGCAGCAGAGGCGGGGCCATGTCTTTGTATGGATTCAATCAAGTTGCAGTCCAAGCCACGACATGAAGTATTCTGAGAAAAAATAGCAGTTGAATTCTCATCTTTCCTTCTACCAACACAAGCAGTAATCTAGAAATGATTGTTTGGGGTTTCACAGGGCGTGCATGCCAGGAGTATTTCTTCACAAACACACCCAGCTCCATGCTCAACACAAAGCTTTCCAACAATTATTATGAGGTAATATAATACTTTATTGATCCCAATTTGTTTTGACATTGCACATCATTTGAAAATAAAAAGAGTAGAAAATGAAAAAACATAAAATAGAAACATCTCAAAATAGAAAATAACACTGAATTACAAAGTGAAATGTATACAAGTTGACTGTGAAAGAGAAACATCTGTAGACTATGTGACCAATAAACACTATGAAGGGCCAAATTGCAGCAAAAAAAAAAAGTCAAAGTAGGATATTATTTACATTAAGTGTGCGAGGAAAGTTTCTGTAAAATGTAAGGACCCCTCACTGAGGGGAGAATGTGGGTTTTAAAAGCCTGTATGAAAGAGTTATCTGAATTCCTGCCTGATGCCTGTCACACTAATCTGGTTTCTTGTATTTACACCATATCTACGTGTGTGTGTGTGTGTGTGTGTGTGTGTGTGTGTGTGTGTGTGTGTGTGTGTGTGTGTGTGTGTGTGTGTGTGTGTGTGTGTGTGTGTGTGTGTGTGTGTGTGTGTGTGTGTGTGTGTGTGTGTGTGTGTGTGTGTGTGTGTAGCAGAAACTCCTGGTCATCTTCAATTAATTGACTTTTGACAGCACTAGAAATATATCGATGTCACTTGGCCCAACAGTTGCATATTTTTCTCTGCTAATGTTTTGTGTTTCTTCCAGAAGGCCCTGTTGGATTCTGGGTAGCAGCCATGGGCAGCAAGACCCTGCCAGCCCCGGTCCCCCTGCACCCGTCGCTCCAGCTGGCCAACTACGCCCTCCTGCAGAGCTCCACGGGCCTGCAGCTGCCGGCCGAACACTTCCAGAGCCTCTACAGCTTCAGCGCCCTCCACGCCATCCAGCTGCACCAGTGGACCCTGGGCTACCCCCACCTCACCCTGCCCCGCTGCACAGTCTCCAAGCTGCCTGCCCACTTCTCCTCCATGGCCTCCTTCCCCCTGTTCCCCCACCTGCTGGAGCCCAAGCACGACTCAGCGGGTCTGTTTCAGAGCTCCAAGAACAAACCCCGCTTTGACTTTGCCAACCTGGCGGCCGCAGCCACCCAGGAGGACCCCCTGAAGGCGGAGGACCTGAGCATGGGGGGAGGCGCCGCTCAGGCTTCATCTCTCCACCAGACCTCCGCCGGCCTCCACCTGGACCTGACCAAGCTCTCCTCCCCCGAGCGCAAGTCCAGCCGAGGCCGCCTGCCGTCCAAGACCAAGAAAGAGTTTGTGTGCAAGTTCTGTGGTCGCCACTTTACCAAATCCTACAACCTCCTTATCCACGAGAGGACGCACACAGACGAGAGGCCGTACACCTGTGACATCTGCCACAAGGCCTTCAGAAGACAGGACCACCTCCGGGACCACAGGTGAGAAGAAGGCTTTATTGGTTATTTAAACCCAACACTGTACTACACACTGAACATTGGCTCGTTGTGTTAACAGGCAAGGTCCCAACAGTTTGTCTAAAGAGGCCCTATTCTGCTTTTTGGGGTTTCCCTTTCCTGTAGTGTGTTATAGGTTGTTGTGCATGTAAATGGTCTGCAAAGGCTGAACGCCCCTCATCCCCCCTGCCTGAAACGCCTCCATTGGACTCCTTTTCATTTAATTTCAAACCTTTATTCATCCAGATTGTCCCTTGAGATCACAGATCTCTTTTTCAAGGGAGACCTGCTTACAGAACTTCCAGAACATAATGACATCACTTTCTAACACTTGCGCTTCTATTGGCTAGCGCTACAACTCATTGTACGTGATAGGCTAAGGGGAGGGACATCTCTAAGCAGTTGACCAATCACAACAGAGCTAGCCAGCTAACCAAAATAGTGATTTGAACCTGAAATGGAGCAGAATGTGTCTTCTTTATTTACAGTCTTCATATAGGGCTGTGTATGTCCCCTTTCTATAGTCAACTTTCCGTCCAAATTAGCACATCATTTTACATAATTTCCAGAAAATGATCACATTTGCGTGCTAATTCTTAAATTGAGTTGCCTAAGAGTTGGGTTATAAACACTTTTGCCTATAGACTCTCAAAAGGATTAGTTATTTCAATCCACACTAGAAAATACAAGTACAAATAGGCACATTTGGGTGTGGATCACTTGCGTTTTGACTGCACTAAACACACAATCACACGTGAAAAGGAATACCTACATTATGTGCATATAGTGTGAAACACAGCCTAGGTAGACACCTGCCAGTAGCTGCTATAGTTGGGTGAATTGCCTCCTGTGTAGATATGCTGTAAGGCTTAATGGAGAAAGGTTTCTTTGTTAAATGCTTAATTCAAAAGGTGATTACTTAGTCCATTATGAAACATTTTGTCACTGTAATGAGATGACATAAGATGTTGAATGTGTCACAATAACTGCACAGTCAGTAGTCTGTGTGCAGATGAAAGGATTCAGAAGAAAACATTCAAGGTGGGCAAAACCTTTCCTAACGATGACAGGATGAAATACATGATGTGTAAGAACTGTCAAACCTGACACAAGTTGACAAGTGCGTAGGGATTGTTTCAAGGACATGGGGGTGTGAGTGAACATTTGGAGCTTCAATGTTTACTTTTTGCAACAGTTTATTGTAGAAGTGTATTCAAGTCCCTGCTTATTCAAAACACACATAGGCATGATTTTTATTGCATCAATGATACATTCATTAACTAGTGTAAAAAGCTCTAAACGTTCAAGGGACAATGTGTAAGGTATGCTAGAATCACTTCTACCATTTTCAACAGTTTAGAAGGTTACAGTGTTGAAAATATGTCAAAGACGTCAATGTATTGTGTTTCGGAAAAATCTACTGAAATTAGCATTCTAGCTGACTAGCCTGATAGAGACTCACTGTGGCACCAATCTGACTTCAAACGTTAAAAGTACGAAACATGTGAACAGTTTTCAATCACATTCAAAGTTCATGGTTTGTCTACGATCTGATGGTTTGTTGACCTAAAAAAGTAAAATTAGCATCATCTCCAGAAGGCTGATACACCATCAGTTAGCGGTTAGCCCTGGGATTTGCTCGGAGATATGTTCCCAGGGGATTGACGTAAAATGCTGCCCCTTTTTTGTATTCCTCCTCAAAACTTCTATAAATCTTATCCCACATTTCTTGGTTCTCTGAGATTTTTGAGAATAGAATGATATGGTGGTATTTCACTTAGACTGTGGAAAACAGAAAACACTTTTACACACTTATGCCTCTGAATGTTGACCCCTTGTCGTGATCACACTCCCTTGATACTAACCGGCGTCTCTTCTGTTCTCTACAGGTACATTCATTCCAAAGAAAAGCCCTTCAAGTGTCAGGAGTGCGGGAAGGGCTTCTGCCAGTCCAGGACGCTGGCGGTCCACAAAACACTACACATGCAGGTCAAGGAACTGAAGCCAGCCAAGATCAAATGAGTCACTCTGCCAGCAGGGGAGGACGAGGACACTGGAAAAACACGACCAAAGACAACAAACAGTCAAAGAGGCAGAGCGCTCTGCTTCCGTGGGAATACTCCTCAAGGATGAAATATTTCACCAGCCAATTCTGAAAGGAATAAAACAGAAATAAGCCTTAGCAGAGAAGTGTATACTTAGTTATCAAAGCCTGACTTGGCAACGGATGTGTGGAATGTTAAGCGAAACACGACCTTGCGGTTGCTCAGTGCAAATACTAAGCTTGTAATCCAAAGACTTTAAAGGTACACAACTCTTGTAATTTTTTTACAAACTGAGAATGATCAAAGCCATGTTAACATATTTTCTCCTTTCAATATCACATCCCAATGTTATTTTTGTATAGATGCATTATATCAAAACTGTATTTTTGCACTTTAACCTGATTATTGATTATTTTCATATATCACTGGATTTCTTAAACTTATTTTCAAAAAGAATAATCATTTCTAAATAAAATATTTTTACTTTATGGGGTTGTCTGTGTGTCTGAGTTTGTCTGAGTGTGTTGCTAAATGCTAACATGCAGGCAGGGTAAGGGACTATATACTTTTTCATCATGACAATGATAATGCAGCAATGATGTATGTTTGTAGGCCAACCAGGAAGTTAGCATTGAAAAGGCTCCCTCAACAAAAGCAATGGGATTTATCCATTGGATTTTAGAATATTGCAAACAATAAGAACTGTGGCAAACACATGTTTATGATGAGTACACGTTATGTTCAGCAGGATAATCTCCTAATAATAACACCACTTTTATAATAGTTGAAGCATAAATGCAATAGCCAGGAGTAAAATGCTAATGTGATGCTATTAACAAACTACATCACGATTGCACGACTTACCAATCACCACCGCTAAGCTAAGGGCTGCTAATGTTGGTCTTGATGACTTTAAGTGGTCTCATTCAGCCATTTGTTAGGAACCACCTTCATTAAGACATATCAAACTAAACGTGAACATCTTGTAAGCTTATTGTAGTACTGAAATAAAGAAATCACACCGATCATTTTACTCAAACAAAAACTGCCGCTCGGGCACCAGTAAGCCAATCTTACGCGGGGGAAATTATTCATTGTCCAGGTAAGAGCTTTATTTTTTAGAATTGAAATAATCCAACATATATACAGAAGGGGTTTCACCTTTGGCTTCTCCTGGGTTTTCCCTGGTAACAAAACATTTGCTCATTCTGGTGAACCAATCCCACCACCGTGCAGTCAACATGTCGATGTGTCCTTGGGCAAGATACTGAACCCTGGGTCGCTCTAGGTGGCCAACGGGGTGTGTGTGAGAGTGTGTATGAATGTTCCCAGAGCAAGTGGTACTGCTCTGCATGAATGAGGTGTGAATGGGTGAATGACTCGTAGTATGTAAAGTATGTAAAGTGCTATATAAGTAGAGTCCATTTACCTGTCTCCAATAAATACATAATCACCAGGTGCCCAAATCCCTCTGTGGCCTAAACCGCCTTCAAAATAAAAGCATAAATAATTACTTCAAGTAACTAAAATAATTACAATCAATAATGATTCATTTATATAAAGAAAAACAGCTGGAAAATAAATGCTTCATTACTAAATAACACATAACTTGTTTTTGGAACTCATTAAAAAACACATTGTATTTTTCCATTGCCATCGACTGCTGTTTTCTTTCACTTTTTATGAGCCCTTCCTGTGCAAAGTTGATTTCCTCTAGTGACCACAGTTTGGATTCTTAATAAGACAGTATAGAAGGCACATTATAGGAAAAGTCGTCTAATTCAAGTGCACTTCTATGCTGACTTGAGGGAAGACATGTAAACAATGGTTTGTGTCCGTGGGTGTGTGTGTGTGTGTGTGTGTGTGTGTGTGTGTGTGTGTGTGTGTGTGTGTGTGTGTGTGTGTGTGTGTCCTGCAGGAAGAAGGCAGCTTGTCCAGGGGAAGGAGGAGAGCTGAGCGGATGGCCGGCCTGTTGCTCACCGTTTCTCTTGTAGTCAGGAACTCATCAGTCTGTCATCATCTCGCTGAGTTGCCAGGGACACAGACACAGACAAACACACTCTCACACACAGCTTCAGGTGGCAGGGGATGGTGTACGTGACATAAGGCTTGTGGAGAACTTTTGCTCCATGGCCTCCTGTCCCGAAGGCTGCTGGGAAGGCTGCTGGGAACACTGCGGAACGGAGACGTGGGAAACAAAGAGAACTGGAAGGAGGATCCAAGGCTGCTGGGGGGTTCAGGGGTCCGCTCCTGTAGGCTCATGGAAGGGGTACTGTGTTTTTTGTGGGGCTGTTTTACCTTGAATTACAGTCTGTGCTCGGTTATCATTTCCTTAATTGAAAGGCTTATAGCATACCCTGCTGCCATGCTTTTATCTGTGTCTAAATAAGGCTACTTGGATGATGCATTTACAGTGGGATCGCTAGACCAATAACATCAAAAACAATGTCATTGGCCAGAGCTATAACAGCCATTTGGTGCAACATTGTAAGTACTGTCAAAAAGTATAAGAAAAAAAGAAAAATCTCATATTTCAATTTGCCCATTTGGTTGTAATTATGCTTTAAGCTGAAGCAATTTTCAAAAACAGTTCTGATGACTCCCTTTCCCCTTTTCCACTGTGACAGTTCCTGAGCTGAAGAGCCTGATTATCAGTTCTTTGTATTTCTACTGCAAAGACACCTGCTCTCAGCCCCAAACATTGGTTCACCTCGAGAACCAACTATTTGCTTTGTTGGCACCCAGAGTCCAGAGCTGGATACGGGGGAAACCTACGTCAGAGGATGGGGCGGGTTTTACGTATGTGAGAATTTCATTGTGAGTATGACTGACAGTACAAATGTGTTCAAGAAAGCACCAAGACCAAAAAGGGGCTAAAATTAAATTAAACATTTTAGAAACATTGTGGAACGTTAACCAGGAAAAAGGCACACATTGTTCATAGTTCACCATACTTTAAATACCTGTATCACTGTGGCATTAGCTGTTTTGAACAGTGGCAGGGCACTCCTGGATATGTTGTTTTTTGTTTTTACACAGAGTATCAGATTTAATCACTACATACACAAATTGTCATATCATAAGACAGATCGGGCAAAATAACACAATTTAATGATAAGATGGTGGAAAACGTCCAATGCGACAATGATGGCAACAAATACCTACCTATTCAATTTGTTATGGTGAATAATTAATATGTCGTGTGTATGCTCAGTTAACTTTAATATAAGTGTGATGGCATTCTACCATTAAAAATGCCGGAAGAATTTAAATATTTATTACATTTTTATTATGCTTAGTAAGAATGGTTTGAGTGGCTCGGCTAACCTCATCCATTTAATACCAGAACATTTCAATTCGTACGATCCTTTGTTTATGGCATTACGTTTGGCACACATTTTAAATGAAAAACAAAAAAAATACACATTCATCGAAAACACAACAAAGGGGGGCAACGTGAGCACAACTCCAACATATTGCGCCATTACTGTCACTGTGAGGGGGGATTTCAAGACGTGGAGCCCATCAGGGGTTCAGTTGGTAAAATAGCAAACTGGTTCTTGGGGTGGTTCACAAGTTGAACAGACTCTGTACTAACACTAACCCCAGCGCATTGTCATCAACATGGTATTGTACAACTGTCACACCATGTGGACAATCCTTCCTAAAGGGTAATCATGTGTTTCTCTCAGTTGTAAGCAATACAGTTCTATTTAGATTGAAGCAGAGGTTCAAATCCTGCCTTACTCCCACACCTCCATGCAGCTGTTCATTTGCTGTGTGTATTTTATTGTTGGATTGAAGGTTTCTGAAAGGTGCAAGAAGTGTCCCACCCAAAGGAGACCTGCTCCACCGCTGCCCAGATGTGTGATGTAGGGAAGTCAGGAACAGTTCATCCTGGTGACAACTCATGGTTCCCAATTGTATTCACTCAATAAACAGCAGAGGTGGTTCAAGTACTCAGAATTTGTACTTAAAGGTAGGGTAGGTAATTTGGGAGAAACCAGCTCGAGTGCGCTAGAATTTGAAAATACACAACCGGAACAAATCTGCCACTTCCTTCCACTGATGCATTTTTTTAATGGATTTTTTGTCAAAGCACTTCAGATATTCATTGCTATCGGGATGTTAAGAGCATTCCATGGAATATAACAACAAGTGTATCTCGAGTCGGTTTCTCAAACGTACCTACTCCACCTTTAAGTAAAAGGAGAAGTACCAGAGCGTAGGAATACTCTGTTAAAAGTAAAAGTCATGCAATCAACATGTTACTCATTACAAAAGTATTACAATCAAAATATACTTAAAGTACCAAAAGTAAAATGACGTATGACTCCATATATTATATGTTTTATTATAATTATTGATGTACTAATCTGTTCATCAAAGCTTGTACACTGAAAAAACTGAAACGTTGACTTTAATTACATTTCAGAAAAAGTTCACATAAATGTATTAGGTTAGTTGAAAGCAATAATATTAAGTTGAACCTAATTTCTTCTGAAACGTAATATTATTATTATTGGAGATACTCAAGTAAGTATCCCAAATCTAGTACAGTACTTGAGTAAATGTACTTAGTTACTTCACACCACTGATAAACAGGAGCAGAAAGTTGTTTCTACTCACTAAACTACATAAACATATCAAACTAAATGGGAGAGTTCATCTGTTTTAATTGTAATATATAAACAATGCTCAAACTACTTAGTATTTTGCCAGTAAAGTGGCAGTTTACACTTTTACTTTATAACCCCCCCACCCCTGGCCTTGGCTTTACCTCTGTGCCCACTGGGCCTAGGGGAAATGTCATTCACTGCTACTGTCTAACCGAATGATTAAGGAAGGGCTGGCAGAGGGCAGAGGGGGGGGGAGCTTCACACAGTAGACCTCGCTCTGTGCCACTGACACGTTTATGGTTTCCGACTGAAAGGGTGAGTCGGAGTGTGGCAGGATGGACGCACAGTGAACTGACAGACACAGGCTGTCCCCCCCAGGCTTCCTTCAGAGAGGGAGGGCAAGGGGGAGGAAGAGCCCCCCCTTTCCAACAATTATAGAACAGGATCAGAGCAGGCCAGGAAGGTGAAAGCAGGTCCTGATGAAAATCACTTCCACCTGGTTGATGGCCTCCTCTCTCAGACATAATGCCACTGGCACGATAATAGCAGCTGCTGTGGACAATCAGCAGTGATTGAATGGGTGATATGGATAATGATACAGCATACACATAGTGTAACTGCTGCCCAGGGATCAATGTGGATGCTAATGTCAGTTGTCAGTAAACACCCAAAGTTGGAAATTGGTACGGATATTTTGGTCTGAAAATGATTTTGGTCAATGGCCTCTTCCTCTTAGCTCATTAAATGTGTTTAATGTATTGTTTGCATTTACGTTTTCTATGTTGTTCATGGTCACAGGATATTTATTTCCCTTGCTATTTCTCTAGTGCT